TGGAACAAAGACCAAGGTTATATTGCCTGCGGTGGAGATGACGGCTTGCTGAAAGTGCTCAAGTTAGAAGCAGGTAAGTGGTTGAATTCTTTCATTTTGCACTCTTTATTGTCCTTACATTTTATGGTCCTCATGTTGCCGGGAAGATATTGTGTTCACTGCAATATTTTTTTGTGAAATGTCTCTGCTCATAGAAGCTCCTCAAGTGTTTAGCAATGGTGTCAGTTACTAGATATTGTGACCTCGCATGATTTCACCTAGATATTGTGACCTCGCATGATTTCACCTTTCCTTTAATTTTCAGGAAAATGCTACGATCAATATCAATGTTGTAATATTCATAGACATTATCATTGTACTAGTATTATTGACATTACTAGCAAAGTAAAAGAGAGAGCAAAGTATTTCCAAAAATCAAGAAGGGAAATCAGATGCGATAGATAGGACTAAGGCATCTTTTCCGGTGGCATTTAGAGGTGTCGCGTTTCCTGTAACCGCTGGAAAAGATGCTTCTAGTAATTGTCTCATTGGTGACTTAGTATTTGTAGAGCCATCAATGTGTAGAGACAATTAATAAACTAAAGTCCCAGTGGCCTTGGCATGTATGTTTATGCCATTCCTGGTGGCACCAGCTGAAGAAACAACATATATTCCCAAAGAAAAAGATAAATAAAGTAGGAAATTAGATGAATAAATAAAACTAAAATACGAGATACATTCAGTTCTATGATGTAAACATGAAAAAAAATATATATAGAAATAGAAGGCTTTCAATAAAGTAACTTCTAAATAAAAGCAGTAGACATGTAAAAAAGAAGTGGATTCATCGCCATTGTAAATTATATTACAATCTATTCTTGTTTTACAGGTAAAGACACGAAGGTCAAAGGGTTGGCAGCTCCATCCAATCTGTCTATGAATCAGACTCTCGATGGCCACACGGGGACAATACAGGTAGTGACATGGAATGAGAGCCACCAGAAACTGACTTCCTCCGACCAGAGTGGACTCATCATAGTCTGGATGCTGTATAAGGTATATCTGTAGTAATAATGCTTTAAACCAGGTGGACCATTTGCTCCCAGTTGGGCCAGTCACCTAAGGGACCACGCACTAGGGCCGTTCACCTGTCTTGTCAGCTATAAACAATGACATATTACAACTAATATTTAACACCACAGAGAACAAAAACATTTGTAATTTTCTTCTGAATTCTTATGAAGTTTATTGTATCTCTTTATATTTTCATTTATTTTCTTATTCTTCAATCAATCTCAAAAACTCAAGGACAAATACATAAACACTCGAGATCAGTTTTAGAATAACTAGAAACCAGTGAGATTTTATTTTACAGCCATTTGATAGATTGCAATACTATTTCAGCTTTATTCATGTGTACATATTTGTTAAGAGTATATATAGTGTAAGTCTATATTCAGAGTCAGTTCTCAGGTTTTTAAATTTTGTGTACATATATCCAGATGATTAGTACATACAAATACAAACAAGTGAAATGTATACCCTACACTCACAAAAATGGTATGATATAGGTTAGTTGGTACCCTCTGCTAGTAATGATGTGATCTCTAAAGAATTCCGTATGCCAGATAAGGATAAGGTGTTTAGTAAAGTATTCTGTGTTGTTTGTCTTTTTTTTTATGATACTTGCCTGGCTTAATGTTTTGTTGCTTTTTTCTTAGGATCCTGTGAATGTGTGAAAGGCCTAACAGACAACAGGGCTGTTCATTTATGCTTTTCTTTTCTTTCCTTTGGAAAATTTAACAAATATTCTGTTAAATTATTTTTTGTACTGCAAGTATTTCTGTCAGTGATTACATATCAGAGGTGATCTACACATATTGTTGGTCTATAAGCAGGCTTGCATATATGCAGTTTTATATCAAAATATCATATATGTTTTTGGTAAGATATATTTACTATTAAAAATCAAGAAATTAATCAGTCAATTATATGCCTCAATATTATAGCAATTTATTTGTCAGTATATCAGTGACAGACCAGTTTTTACTCTTGTCTGCAGATCATATTTTTATACTTTATACTGAATATACTTTAGAGATGAATCTAATTTTTATCTAACTTTTTATTGCTTTAAGGCTATTGTTACTCCGTACCACATGTTTTATAATAGGGCTCTTGGTACGAGGAGATGATCAACAATCGTAATAAATCTGTTGTGAGGGGAATGGCCTGGAACAGCGAGGGACAGAAGATATGTATTGTATATGAGGATGGTTAGTATTGTGTCAATATGCAAGCGGGTAAATATTCTTTTACTAAAACAAGGATAGTCCAATTTTCTTTTTGACTTAAAGTAAGTCTGTAGTTTATTGTCAGAATACAATGAATTTCATTTTAGTATTTAATCTGGGTAGGAATATTTTTCTTAGTTGCTATATAAGCAACCCTTAAGTTATATTGTTTCTATAAGCAATATTTTGGATATTACCATTATGATATTTTTTTCATTATCATTATAATTTCCATGGATTATTTTATCACCAGTATCATTGGCCTGGTCTTTATAATCATTGTTATTGACATCATAAGAAAATAGGACTTCAGATTCACCAGTCATATTTCCTCTTCTCAATACTTCAGGTGCCGTGATAGTCGGCAGCGTTGACGGCAACCGCATTTGGGGAAAGGAACTCAAAGGCCAGCACTTGATGGGAGTTGAATGGTCTCCCGACTCACGTCTTCTCCTCTTTTCCCTTCACAATGGGGAGGTTCATGTGTATGACAATACTGGAGGCTTCGTTGTGAGTCTCATTAACATTTCTTTTTTTTCTGTGCAAGTATGTGTGTGTGTGTGATATGAATCTGTTTGCATTGATATTTAATGATTTATTCTTTAGATTTATTGCTGTATTGATTGGTTGATTGATTGATTAATTGACTGACTGATGAAATTCAGTTAGAGATGTTCAATGACATTTTTTTTTTTTTTCATTTTCATAGAGCCGGCTGAACATCCAGTGCCTGGGAAGCATGGGCCTCGGAGCAATGGTAGTCGGCCTCACTTGGTACAATGGGCGAAATGGCTATGTAGAACCTGACTGTCCCACCCTAGCCATATGTTACGACAACGGCAGAATGCAGATCATGAGGACCGAGAGCGATGACAGTATGTACTTAGCAACTTTACGTGAATGAAATATAGGCAGTGCTGCAGCTACTGAAATCTCATATTTATTAGTATGAAGTACATTTACAGCTGTTTTTCTTTTATAGATTATCATATTATTTACTTTCTTTTCTCACGTGCTCTCTCACAGTGCCCGTTTTGATTGACACTGGAATGAGTGTGTGTGCCTGCCAGTGGAATCACAATGGTTATGTGATAGCAGTGGCAGGCACCCTCCATCTGTCAGGCATGGGAGAGAAAGACTGCAATGTTGTGCAATTTTATACTCCATTTGGTGAGGTAAGAAAGTATGTATTTGCTTTGTTGTAACCTACTTTTCTTCTATGTTTGTACATTTCCCGTATGTAAAGAAATTAGTGCTTAGTACTGTCACTGTCTGGACTATTGTTAACTATGTTTTAAATTCAATATTGAACACATGAAAAGATGAGGCCCTTGGTAAACTAGGAGGGTTTTGAAGCTGCCTCCATGACATTATTTCTGTTGGTGGCAAAGTCTAGAATTTGACAGTATGCATAATACATTATGAATTATAATTTTGGGACTATTGAAACTCTGATTATTCTTCCATAATTATTGGCTACAGGAATATATAGTCGCTGTCCATTTAACTTTCACTATCACTTTACAGCATCTGAGGACCCTAAAGGTGCCAGGGAAGGAGATAACAGCTTGTTCGTGGGAAGGAGGATCCCTTCGTATAGCTTTAGCAGTTGATTCCTTTATCTACTTTGCAAACATTCGTCCTGACTACCGCTGGTGCTTCTTTGCCAATACTGTGGTTTATACATACACTAAGCCTGAACGCACAGAAACTTGTGTGACCTTCTGGGATACCAGGAATAATGAGGTATATTATGAGAAAATAGGTCTCTTTTGAATTAATATCAAAGATAATATGTACATAGTTTACTTTTTTAATAAATTATTCAAAGCAGGATGTGGTAGAAAAAATAAGTTAATGTATTTAGACTTATTAACAAGTTAGATAATGATCTACCGTAATTTCCTGAACAGCATTTTATTAAGCACATCAAGTACCTCATGGGCATGGCATCGAGTGGAGAGCACTGCGTCTTGGCTGTGCGCACTGATGATGGGTCTGGACAGTTTGGGCTGATCATCTGCAATGCCATTGGAACTCCTGTTGATAGTAAGTGCTTAATAATTTTCTCTTTAGATTTTGAGAAAGAATATCACTCGCCTCTTTATTGTTTGTGATATATGTTGGTATAACTAGCATGATTATATTAGTATATATAGCAAAGACTTATTGTATTGATAAGTTTGAGTGCAAAACTATACTCGGACTTAACTATTATTCGACTTTGTGGCAAAGGTCTTTAGCATATTCATGTGTAACTATTATTCGACATTTTGGTAAAGGTCTTTAGCATATTCATGTGCTTTCTTGTTCTTGCTTTTGTTATTTTGTTTATAACTTGTTCAACACAAATCCATTGCTATTGATTATTCTTTCAACAGGTAAATACATAGACATCGAGCCCCATTACCTATCCATGACCAGCAGTTACGTCTTTGCTGCATCCAAGGAGAACTTCTATATTTGGCACTTTAAGACTCCCAAAGCTCATTCATCAATTGAAGTGCCTGGTAGGTTATTCATATTTGCTATTATTTTTTTCTTTCTTTCTTTTTTTTCACAGTGAGTTGTAAGATTTTACTTTTAGAACTTCTGATTCTTCTTTGTGTGCTCCAAAATATGATTGTGTTCATTCCTTACTTCTAAAATGTCATTGATGATGTTGACCTTATGAAAATTATTTTTGGAACTGACTGTCTACAAAAAGGAAAAACAATTTTATTCCAGGATCGGTGAAGGTAGACCGCCAAGAACGCCTGTACCATATTGATGACACACCCACTGGTGTCAATGATGTCTTTAGGGAAGGAGATAAACTTTTTGAGGTAGGTTGATGTGCTCCATAGTAAGAAGATGAGATTTTTTATGGATCTGCAATTTCTGAAGTTGAATTTGCATTTCAAAAGGATTTGATGGATAGAAAATGTTTTTCTTTCTCGAAGGTCTTGTATCCTTACTGCTGAATAAACAATAATTCACCAGAACACTTGAATCTAGTGCTTGTTGACATCATGTTCAGCTGTTAAGGGGGAGAACTCAAATAGAAAGTACAACCTCCAACCACTCCCAATCCTGCTTATCCATCACACTTGAATCTAGTGCTTGTTGACATCATGTTCAGCTGTTAAGGGGGAAAACGAGGTGTGATTTTCTTAAGGAGAGATGTATGCAACGGATTTAGCTACTTTATTTGAAACCTCTCTTGTTTCTGTGGGGATTCTGTCATCAATCTTCAGAAGCTGTACTGGAAATGGGACTAACTTCCCAGTATTTTTGCAGACCTTCTCCTGTACCAATGAAGACATGCACTGTCTCCATGATATTCATATGGCTTTGACTTTTATCTTCTTGTCATGGACATAACTAATTCTCTGTTTCAACTACCCTAATGCAGTGTCTCCTACTCTGACCACCATGGTACTTGGAGGTCTCTCGTAATCAGCTCATTCGGATGCTAGATATATCTATCAATGTGAGGTAAAAAATATCTCAAATGCTCATATTCTCCAAAGTATAATGAAATGAGTATTCACTTAACCCACCGTCACCAGGAAAATGTAATGTTCACTGTAGTACTGTTTTGTGAAATGTCTCTGCACATAGATGGTTCCACAAGTACTTAGCTACAAAGGAGTCAACAAGTAGACCTTGTGACCTCACCTGATTTCACCTTTCATCGAGTTTCTGGGAATTTTTTTTTTTTTTTACTAATGCTATCAATATTGATGCTGTTATTATTACTATGGACATTATGATTATTATTGTGTTATTGACATTACTAACAGCAATATAAGATACCAGAAAATATTTCCAAAAATCAAGTGGTGACTTAGTACTTGTGGAGCCATCAATGTGTAAAGGCAAATAGTAAACTAAATTCACAGTGGGATGGCACATATGCGCATGCCATCCCTGGGTTAATGGTTGAATCCTGCTTGAGTTCTGGCATACCAGTACTTTTTTAGCTACAATCACTCAACTAAATCAAATAGAGTAGTTACCAGATCAAGTAGAAAGGAAAGTACAAATTTTCAACATAAGAAGAACCTCCAGCAACTGGGTTTCTTTCTTTTTTTATTATATCTAGGTAAATTACAATTTCTGTTCCTTAGCTAGTAGATACAAGATTATCTTGGCTTTCATGTTACAGGCAACCAGCGACCCAGTCTGTTGTCTGACAGCAAGTGAGCGAATATTAGTGATTGGCAGAGAGTCAGGAGCCTTGCAAAGATATGCTCTGCCTCATGTTGCCCTGACTGCGCGTTACACCTTGCCATGTCGTCCACACCGTTTGGCACTGAATTGTAATTCTACGTAAGTTTTGATTTAACACATTTAACTGTCTCCTTAATAAAGAAAAATTTCTTAAGTATTAGATGTAATTTAAGCCGAAGTTGATTTGATTTAATGCATTTAAATTACTGCAGTTAAAGGGGAGGTTGAGTATAGAACAAATATTTTCTTATTAGTGATTGTGTAATAACTTTGTTATGGTTTGTGATTTTTACCTTTCTTTCTTTCTTTTTTTATTACATTACTTGAATTTTTTAAATGCATTACATTTCTGCAATTACTTGAAATTTTTAATGCTAGATACTTATGCGGACACATGCATCACAGTTAGTGCCGGTGAATAATGGATAGAAATCTTTGGAATCTTATTGTATGGCTTATATTTATTCCTTAACTCACAATAGACTACACCATCACAGTTTTTAGTTTAAGAAAATGTAAGAGTATTGATGAATACACTGTGAACACATTTTTGTAGTTTTTCACATTGCGGACGGATGAGTAAAGGTTATTGAACTATGCTATCATATGTTATTTATTAGGTATTTTATGTTTGAATTCTTTATTTAAAATGATAGATGGGGAAAATAGTGTAAACCCTCTTCATTTTTCGTCATTATTGAAAGCAGTGGCTCTCAAACTTTAGTTGATCACAGTCCCCTTGGAATTCTGAATTAGTACCATGTACCCATTGTGATTTAAACTAGCATTTCTGGCAAGACACTTAGAAATACATATTATGTGATATGTAACACTAAAATTAATAACATCCTTAAAATCAGTAAAAGTAGGACAACATTAGAATAAAGTATTTTTAAAGATTGTATAGATTAAAAGATGATAAAGACCTAAGAGTAATTACATAATCTGTTAAATTTCTTAACCCATGATGCACATATACACATATTGGGAACCTTAGCTCTGCAGCAGCATAGTTTGCAAAGGGGTGTATTTGTAGTCATTTGTGCTTATTTTCTTTTGCAGGCGCTTGGCTATAGTTGATATCACAGGCTTGCTTACTTTCCTGGATCTAGATACACGTACATCGGACAATAATGGGAAAGAGGTATGCCTTTTGTCTTTGGAATGTTAAATGTTAGTGATTCGTTGAAGGAAGCTGAAAACAATTTACTTGAGCTTTTATTTCTTTATAAAGATAGATTATATTTGTTTGTGTATATATATATGCACACACACACACACACACACACACACACACACACACACACACACACACACACACACACACACACACACACACACACACACACACACCACACACACACACACACACACACACACACACACACACACACACACACACACACACACAACACACACACACACACACACACACACACACACACACACACACATAGATACCCTTTATGTATGCTTGAATAGAAAGATAGATTCCTTTAGTTTTACCTGTAATATTTTTCATTCAGTTTTCACACATCTAAAAAAAGATTTATTGCCATTGGAAAAGGGGCTGGATTTACACACAGAACACAACCTTTGATATTAACTGACCAATAATTAAAAATCCACACATTTCAGATAATGGGATCCATTCTGAAGTTTGAACGCAAGGACGTTTGGGATATGTGCTGGGCTCACGACAACCCTGAACTTTTTGCTATGATGGAAAAGACGAGGATGTATGTCTTTCGCAACATGGATCCTGAGGAACCTATTGCTAGCTCAGGTTATCTGTGCAGTTTCCAGGTTTGTTGATTCTCTCTTTTCATCACTAAATAGTTTTCTCTTATCTTTGTTATTATCGTGTATACTTTTTTTTTTAGATATTTTGGATATGTGAACGTGGGTGATGTTATTTGTGTTCCCTATGCTTTTTTTTCCTATGTTGACTTCTTTGGAAAGGAGATTTGGAGGTTACAGTTATTAGGCATCATTTTTATCAGTGATCTAAGTAAGATTAGTTCTGTTAATAAGCTGATTTGTTGAATGGCTACTAAATTCATTCATATTTCAATCAAAATGCTTTATTATTTTTACAATGCCACATGCAAAACTATTTGTGTCCCTTTCCTTTGTCAGAACTTTATCCTTTGCAGAAGTATGTCTTTATACATTCTTTTGACTATATGTGTGAATGACTAATATGAAGATAAGGCAGACAATATGTGTATGTAAAGGAAATTATTGAACATCTTAAAAGAAAAAAGGAGCAAACAGTCAAGTTTAGCAATCCTGAAATCAACAATTATCTCATCAGACAACTTAATAGATACTCAAGCAGACTTAACCCACTAACAACGGGTGTCCCACATATGAGACAACCGAAATAATAAACATTGCCAGGCGTCCAGTGTGACGCTATATCGGGGCTCGCGTTCCGACACAGCAGCGGGCCGTGGCCGGCGGGCGGGCAGGCAGCCCTGCCTGCCGATTTTGTAGCCGCCCGGAATCTTTTATTTTCGGCTTCAAAATATACTGGTGTTAATGGGTTAATACTACTCAGCAGCTAAAAGACATAATTATTCATTGGAACAGGACCTTGAAATACGTGCAGTACTCTTGGACGAGGTGATGCGAGAACCTGAAGCACCGACAACTGACCACTTGCTCACATTGGAGGTGAAAAGTTTGCGCGACACCCGAGACCTTTTAGAGAAAGTGTCAATCAAAGATGCAGCAGCATTCATTGATGAGAACCCACACCCAAGACTCTGGTACACCATTCATTTTTAATGTTATATGATTAGTGAAACATGAGAGGCTTTGGTTTCCTGATGAGTTGGATATTTGTCACATGCACTCATATACACTCAAAAGTTACTTTTGAGTGAGTTCATCCTTAAATATATACCCATAGCTGTCTCAAGTAAGGATGTGAAAAAGTATCTTATAAGCAATTTATTCCAGGCGTCTCCTTGCTGAAGCAGCTCTCGAAAAACAGGACCTTAAAAATGCTGAAGCTGCATTTGTACGTTGCAAAGATTATCCAGGAATCCAGTTAGTTAAGCGGATATCAAACATCCAAAACGAAACTTTGAGGAAAGCAGAAGTTGCTGCCTATTTCAAAGACTTTGATGAAGCTGAAAGGCTGTATCTGGAAGTTGATCGCAGGTGAGTCAGTTAACCCCTTGAAACCAGTTGCTTCATAGCAATCACATGGACCAAAATACATTCATTAGGCTTATTTAAGTCGCCGTTTTCCTGGATGTGCGGCGTGTAGGCTGGGCACATGCAAGCACTTGTGTGTAGTGACAAGACTGTATGCCTCCTCATTGCAATGTTATTTTGCATAAGCTTTTTTGCCTTTTACCAATGTCCATATTTGTCTTTTGATTTGCTTTACCCAGATAGCAATAATATTTTCCTTTCGCAGATTCCAATATCATCTATCTATACAGTAGATAACTTAGTGAAAAAAAATTATTATAAAAAAGTTGTAACATTTTGTTATTTGTCTTTTTTTTATATAATATATAATTTTCTGTAATACAATCTGTGCTGCCAGCATCCAAGAATAGGTTGCTGAACATGGAAATGTCCTCCCTGGGCCGATGCTCTTACAGTCATGGCTCATGGGCTGTACATTCCACACTTGTTTATCAATGGGAATAATGCAAAAGAGTCTTTCTAAATGCCAAATGTGTCTAATCACCCTCCAAGAGGTGTTTACACTTGTAGCGAGTCGTTTCTGTCATCCGGGCCTTCGCTCTTGACGGCAAGTTGACGTCACCCTACTCACAACCATTTTTTCCCGTGAGGGCGTTTTCATATCACCACCCCTTAAGCCAAATTTTTTCATGACATGATGGTCACATCACCCGGATTGAAGGAGTTAATGAAACAATAGATGTAGTAGAGATTCAGTAACACTTACAGTAAAATGTTTGAGTGTAGATACAGTCATGATACATAAAAAAGAAATTATTGGTCATGATAAGAATGCCTTAAATGCAAAGATTTTGTAACTGGAGGCAATATGCTAGGATTTTCATTGTACTTAAAATTGTTTGCTGTTTTAAGATCATGAAATAAGCCATTTCCTCACAATCTATTTACATATGCATTTATGCCAGAAATGAGGAATAAAGATTGATTAAGGAATTAAAAAAAAAAAGATAGATTCATAGATAAACTAATTTGTAATACTTTATTATACTATGTTACTATTTGATTCTGATGATACTGCTTTCCTTGCAGGGATGTTGCAATTTCTCTTCGTCGTAAGCTCGGAGACTGGTTCAGGGTTGTGCAGCTGCTCAAGTCTAGCTCCTCTGGGGATGACGTGAAGATGGAGGAAGCCTTGAATAACATAGGACACTATTATGCAGATAGACACAAATGGTCAGTACATAGAAAATCGTATCTTTTTTTGTACATATTTTTTTTTAAGGTAACCCATATCATTTAGTTTCCTTAGTGCTATAGGCTTTTTTTTCTTTTTGTTTTATTTATGCTTTGTTACAGTTCAGTTGTACCTTTTTTCACACATACAGGGATGATGCAGTGAAGCACTTTGAACCTGCACACAACCACGAGATGCTGGCCATATGCTATTACCAGCTGGAGGACTTTGGAGCTTTGGAGTCGCTCGTGCGCTCTCTGCCTGACAACTCTACACTTCTGCCTGCCATTGCTGATATGTTCACAAGTGTTGGCATGTCCCAGCAAGCTGTAGCTGCTTTCATGAAGGTAGGTGTATAAAAGCTGTTGATGAATTTCTTATGTATCACAAGGATAAGTCGGCAGTTGCAACTCTGTATGCTAATCTCTGAATTGTCACTTTTTGGTATTTACCTTAAAACTATATTTGCATATTGAAGTAGTTTTTGTAAATCATGAAATTGACTTAAAAAACTCCTCTTTGTCAGTCTCACAGAAGTGTACCAGCTGAGATCATATCCCTTTTAAAGTATAGTGTACTAGTAATACCATCATTTTCTCTTCATTTAGTGCAGTCGTGTGAAGTCAGCCATTGACACGTGCGTAGCCCTGAACCAGTGGCACGAAGCAGTTGAGTTGGCCAAGCAACACAATGTCACTGAGATTAGCGCTCTCCTGGCCCGCTATGCTTCTCACCTGCTGGAAAAAGGAAATCGTCTGCAGGCAATAGAGCTCTACCGTAAAGCTGACAAACTGTTAGATGCTGCTAAACTTCTGTATGAGGTATGGCAGTGAATAGGTCACACAGAAGAGGCCTTTCTGTTATCATTATATAACAATACATTGTAATTGACATTCAGTTTCACTTACAGAGTAATATATGAATGAAGATATGTTTTAGATATGATGCTCCCTAAAGGCCCTATCACACTAGCACTTTTTCTAGCGATTTTTGTTTCCATGTGACGGACAAGGACACACTACCATGGCAGCAAACATTCTGATACATAATATGTTATTTTAAAGAAATATAATTATGTTACATATGAAAATTTTCTATAATACTGACATATGTTTGCATTGACTTATTTTATCTAATTTGTTGATAAAAAAACATTCTTGTTGTATAGATTCTAAGTAGCACAGATGAGGACACAGCATCCACTGCTGCATCTTCATCTGGGAGGCTTTCAGTATGCATGCGATACATGCAAAAGCCTTAGATTGAAGGAAAAAGTGCTAGTGTGTTAGGGCCTTAAATATAGACCACTGATTTTTTTCTCATTCTCTCTCCCTCTCTCTTTTATGATTCATACAAATTGTATAATTAGATACCTGCTAATACCTTTGATGCCTAGAATGTTTTACCAAATATTGTAAAGTTCTAAAGCCATGTTCATTTTCATCTAGTGTTGAAGTACTCATTGCCAGCAAGCCACCTGAAAATGATTTATTACATTGACATCCTTAAATCAGCCAAGTGATATTGTGATAAGATGTGAGTTTTCTCGTTGGACTCACTCAAGGTAACCCAAGATAGGAATTTAATAAAACATAGGACCTAAATTTCTC